GGTAACGTGGACCGTTAGCCCATTAATAAGTGAAACAACCATGTGATGGAGACATATGGCCTCGCTCTGATCTGCCCTCGGCCGGCTCCACGTGTGTGTGTGTGTGTGTGTGTGTGTGTGTGTGTGTGTGTTGTGTGTGTGTGTGTGTGTGTGTGTGTGTGTGTGTGTGTGTGTGTGTGTGTGTGTGTGTGTGTGTGTGTGTGTGTGTGTGTGTGTGTGTGTGTGTAATCCCCCAAAAAAAGTCAACTGAGCTGAGTGAAACAAGGAAAAAATTAAAGGAAGAGAGACAATAGACACAGGCAGCGTGTGGGCTGAGTGTGTGTGTGTGTGTGTGTGTGTGTGTGTGTGTGTGTGTGTGTGTGTGTGTGTGTGTGTGTGTGTGTGTGTGTGTGTGTGTGTGTGTGTGTGTGTAGGAGATACAGAGTCTGTGGGCTGGAAGAGTGGGAGTTATCTGCAGAGAGATGCTTTGACCTCCCTGCAACTGCAGCTGCCTCTAGGCTCTGCGCACACACACACACACACACACACACACACACACACACACACACACACACACACACACACACACACACACACACACACAGGCAAAGGGAACATGGAGTACTTGCATATCGGTGAAACAGAGAGAGAGAGTGAGTTGTTTCGGTTGCAGTGATCCTGAAATGGCCTCAGAGCTCGAGGAAACGTTCGCTATCACGCCGCAAAAAAACACCTTTTAAAAACTCAAACAAAAAATTGTACGAGCATTATTTTTTTTTATTTCCGTTTTGCACGGACAGGTTTCCCTCTGAGAGACCGATCAGGCTGTGTGGAGGACAGGACCTACAGGATGTATAAAACATGGACGTCACACACATAGTCTCAGTGATGTCACACGTTGGTGTATCAGGAGGCATTATGAAGCACGACGACGACGGCCATATTGTAAACTCTAACTAACCTTTGATAAATCTAGAAACAGGCGTCGAGCTGGAGCTGAGGCGTCAAAACAGCTCCAAACAGCTCCAAACAGCTCCAAACAGCTCCAAACAGCTACAAACAGCTACAAAACATCCACATGTAGGTCAAATAGGACACGCCCCTAATGACTCTCAGCCTTACTAACGGCGAGCTCATGCCCTGAATGTATCGTCTATGAACGCAGGGACAAACCTTCACATGCTGAGTGAGAATCCATCACTCAGTTTTATGTTTTTATTTGTCTTCTGTGATGTGTTTGTGATGCATGCTCAATCTGAGAGAAATGTCCTGCCAGCCCGCGGCGTTCTGTCGTCTGGGAACGTTTGTACGCTTGTAGGCTTTTTTATAAAAGGAGCGATTCGGCTGTTTAAGATGTTCATGTATGAAATGTTAATGTGCTGCAGAGCTGCTCGGATCTCCTGCGGCTCTGCATCTGAATTATGTTTCACTTGAGGCTGGATGTATTTTTTATTTGACACAGTCAGACGCTGCACACTCTGAAAGATGAAGTTTACAGGAAGGAGGAACAGCAGAATGATGATAGTCTTTATTTTCAGTGGGATAGAAGGAGAAGATCTTTGGCTGTAAAGCTGATATACCAACCTAACAGAACCCTAACAGAACCCTAACAGAGGCCTCGACTTCAGGAGTTTAGACCAAAGCTATCTTGTTATTTAGAGGACTAAGTGGCTTTTTTTAAACTCACCTCTGTGAAGAATGTGCTGAAACTCGTGGAGCATTTTGTTTCTGCTGACTGGATATGAAGTCCTGAAGTTTGCTGTTTGATTTTGCATCATCTGTGATTTTGCAGCGTGATTAAGGTTGATGCATTGTTTTCTGTTTCCTCCTGGTTTAGTTTTTAACGCTTTATTTGTACTTTTGAACACATTTTTTTAACTTTGCATCGTTACTAAATTTGCAGCTTGTTTTCTCCTCATGAAAATCTTTTTGCTGTGGGACACAGTCGGGTTTGGTTGAGGGGTCAGGATAAAAACAGGGGTTAGCAATCTTATGCTATCACTTTCTAAGAGAGCTTTTTAGAAACAATTGGCTTCAGAAAAGATATAAAGATTGAAATGCAGACTCCTTGGACGGTCTTCTTCTGGGTCTTTTCAGAGGGTGATTCAGCAACAGCGCCATGACGGAGCTCGTCTGTCATTACGTCTTTGTACC